CCCACTTAAGCAGATTACTGCTTTCTGCACTTCTTTATGACCCAGCCCAACAAGTGAGCTGCCTCTGCAGCCATGTATTTCCCATCTATTCAGCCCGTGTGGGAACTGAAGGGGTGCGATCTGGATGACTTCAGGGACAGAGATGAGTTAGAGGAACTGTCCTCTGTCCCACCCCCTTGCCCACTTTCTGCTTCAACCTCAGTGTCAGGGAGCTGCTCCTGGTCCTGGGAGAGTGGAAGCAGCTTCCCCTACTGACCATAGCCCTCATCTCTGTTTGTGGACAGACGCAGAGCAGAGCAGAAGAGGGGTTTTGGGAGTGGGGGGCCTGTGTGGCTTCTTCTGGCCCCTGGCAGCCTCGAAGGTTCCAGTTTCACTCTGTGGTCCTAAAAAAGACAGCCACCAGGTTTCCCCTGACCTCTTGTCTCCTGAGTGAACGCCCAGGTTCCTGAACATGGCCCCAAACTGGACGTGGTTGTGAGATCCACCTCCCTGTCCCAACAGTTCTCTTCCGAAACATGAAACAAGTAAAACATCACCACCACTTCTGTAGAAGGTGACCTTACTGATTCCAAAGCCCTTTTGCCTGGACACATCCAGTCTGTCTTTGCAGTTATCACAAATGACTATGATCCCTTTACAGATGAAGAAACAAAGCTCAGAGGGAGGAGATGCTTTACCTGGTCTCATCACTGGTTTCGGAAGAGTTGAAACTTGGGCAAAGAACACCTGTGTGACTGGAGAGAAGCCCGAGCGCTGCAACTAGAGAGAAACCTGAACAGACCCCCAGCTGACCTCGCACTCTAACGAAAAAGGATCCCGCATGCTTCAACAAAGATCCCGTGTGCCGCAATGAAGACCCAACGCAGCCAAAAAATATAACGGAAAAAAAAAAAAAAAAAGAATGCCTGTGTGCTTTCCAGAAAAGCACAGAGGGAATCTACAGCTACCTGGAACTGTGACATTGAGAAGTGAATACAAGACTCTTGGAGAGCCTGACCAGTGCAGAATAGAGCAAGATGCACATTATGCTTCCCCAAAAGAAGCATGGGGTGCTCTTCACGCACACATGCTTCCTTTCTGATGGATATCCCTATCAAACATGAGTCCTCAGACTCACTGCTCACAGCTGCGAAGATTGGCTCTGTATTCTCCAGGTGTCGTGATGAACGTCGGGGCTCTGAATTCAGAATGCCTGACACAAATCCAACTCTGGCCTCAGCTTCTTAAGCTAGAAAATGACAAACCCATTTCCTAAGTGTTTTGAGTATTGGATGTGAACATGCAGGCAAAGGGCTTGGTTTAAAGGAGACGCTAAGCAGGCATCGCTGTAACTGTCACACTGCCTGCCCATCATCAGATCATTCGATACGCACACTATCTCTTGCCAAGTCATGAGAAAACTAGAACCAATCTGGGCAAAGGTTGACATACACATGTATCAGTAGCCTTTGGCTGTGTTGTTCAGCTGTTTTCAGGCTTAAGAGTAATGACAGGTCAACAGCTCCAGGTTCAATTCCTGACTCCACCACCCACCTGTAATCAGGCTATGCTCCAGCCTCCTGCTCTAGATCCCAGGAATAACCAGTGCCTCTTCTTTCCTGGATGCTATGAAGAAGAGTAAATACAATAGCGCATGGAAACATCTGGAAGTATTTAGGGCTTCATAAATGGTAGTCATTATCATCATAACAATACCCGACCCTGATTCTCTCATTGTATTCACCTTAGTATCTTCAATGATATTGTCAAAATGTTCTCGTGATCAAAACATATAATACTGTGTTTTCTATACTTTTAAGATAGGATTGACATGCTGGTGGCTATGAGCTCACTTTGCTGGTTCCAGGGAATTGTCAGCTGAGGAAGGGCTATATTCCTACCTTGCCCCCTTTAAGCTGGTGTGTGGACGACTGTCATGAGGGCTGGCTCTGACCACTCGAGAGGTGCATGTCTTGGTCTGTTCTTGGGGCCCTTTATTCTGTCAGGTGCCCAGCTGGCTCACACTGCCCTGAGGATTGGTTTGAGAAATATGGCACACCAAATTGTTTGATTAGGAGCTATCCCTCTGAGGGGTAACTGAATTTTGGGAGGTTCTCAAAGAAAAGGCATTTCAAACAGTGAGTTTTTAGGGCTTGAGACCCACAAATATTTTGAGCAGAGTGTTTGATCCCCCTATCTGCCAAAATACCCCCAACCACAATCTGTAGCATCTCATCTATGCAGAAGAGTGGCTCTCGTTTTACCAAAATATTACCAAGTAACTTTAAACTGCTCTATTTTTTCTTTTGTGACACATGTACACATTCTTGTTAAATATAAGAAAATTTCTACTGTCTTTTGATAAAGCCCAATAAATGCTGACATACATTATTTAACTAGGTAAGTAAACAAATGATAACGGCAGGATTAAACATTTAAGAAGTCTGCCTGCCTGCCAGGATTTTTGGACCCCAAATCAGAGCAAATGTAGGGCCTCACTTAACCAGAAGAGAGAGTTAAGATTAAGTGAGGAAAAGGGTCAATGGGTAGCCAGCTATGAGTCCATATGAAAATTAAGCATTTTCTGTAAGTATGGTATACATGAAATGACACTCCACCACCCTAGTCCATGTCCAGAGTGCTATTCTAAGTATTGTCAGAAAAGTAACACTGTGTGACAAGCCAGATTTCTTGACAGCTAGAGGGGGAAAAAACCCCAGGGAAACCATGTCTATTTTTTATTGAAAACAACACAAACTGGAAATGACCCTTTAAATCACAGAAAATGAATCACAGGAAATCTGAGTCTTCTTTTGGCCATGATTACAAGTCCTCTCGACTCAGAGTCTCTGTCACTTGGAGACCTCTCTTTCTTTCAGAGATAAGTTATAAATTAACCAGCACTACATTACCTCAAGACTAGTAGGTCTCCTGCTCTGAGGTAACATGAAATATTTTTCCCCTGAACTGTAAGTGTGCCCGGTTAATCATCCTCCCTCTTGGTCGCCTTTAACTCATCTGAACATATGGATACATCCACTGTGTTACCAGCTTGCATCATGTGGTTTCAGTGTGAGGACTCGAAAACACTCCAAGCCCGGGAGGAAAACAAAAGGAGCTGCTGGCCCACGTGCTGGTGCAGGCAATCCCTCAGGGATGAGCACCCTCCCCACCCCCGCCAGCACTCAGTCACTGGGCTTCGACCCATGGGGTGTGTTAGGACCACCCCCCAGCAAGACTGCCCTGCTGAAGAGAAAACCAAGGGAAAGGCAAACATCTATACAGACAGCTGGGCAGACACGTTGAAGTGACTACAGGATGAGGTCTTTGCTTTCAGATACACTCCATTGACTTAATCACTCCAGGGACTTAATCAGAACTTGTTAGGAAATTAAATGGCGTTCAATCAGCAGCAGACTCCGAATCCAAGTTAGGAGAGACGAGTCACTCAGCACACTCAATATTTTTCCCCATGAACATAATTATTTCCTACTCAGAATGGAAGTGGAATTTGCACATGTCACGGACAGAGCCAAGGGGTCCTGAAACGTCTGAAGGATCATGAAAACGAGGACCAGCACTTTATTTGCAAATTATCCTGCAGGAAATGAATGGTACAAGTTTATCAGCAAAGTGTACACACCACCAGATACAATCACCACAGAGCCCAATGTAAATTTTAATAAGCTCCTTTCATATGATGGCGATCAGCTGAGCAAACATCATAGTCTGCACAGTGTCAGCAGCAAAGGTGACAAAGAGCACAGCACTTGCTGTAGTACAAGGACACACATAGTAAGCAGGCCCGCCCCCTGGCACGGTGCCCATCAGCTGAGGTTAAGTCCACGCTTACCTCTTTCAAGGATTTTAGAATTGAGATTAAGAGTTCAATTTCTCAAATTAAAAAACAAAAATTTCGGTGATTTAACAAATTCCAAGTCTATATCCTTTAAAGAGCAAGGAGGCTGTGGTGCAGAGCATGGGAATGCAGGAAACAGGCAGTCACCCACGTGTCGACCTTGACTTCACTGCAATGAAGCACAGCTGCAGCGTTTGGGGACAGTGGGGGACCCCTGGAGCTGGAAAATAACAGGCGCGGGTCCTGGAAAAGGGGGACTTCTCCAGCACTGCTGGACTCAGCCCTGGATGCAGCCTCAAAAGGCAGTGTGGTTTGATCAAATGAACACAAAATAAAGCTAGCCCAAATTCGTTCAGGGAGCTGTACTGTTCCGCTCCCTTTTGCACACTGAATTCTACAGCTATTTCCCACACACTTCCTATCTGTCCCGCAGGCAAGGCTATATAAACTCACATACCCCTGGAGCGCCTCCATTTCTAGTTGCTTGCCTGGCCAGGGGTAGAAAGGCATGATGTTTGTTAGAACGGGGAGAGAGGGGTGATGTGTTCACCTCCTTTCCTTACTGAAATCAGCTGCAAACAGCTTGGGAGAAGGAAGCAGAAAACAGGCTTCACTTCACCCTTAATCCAGGACGAAGCCACTTCTAAGGGCCAACCTTGGATGCACCATTTTTTTTTTTTTTTTTTTTTTTTTTTTGCAGTATGCGGGCCTCTCACTGTTGTGGCCTCTCCCGTTGCGGAGCACAGGCTCCGGATGCGCAGGCTCAGCGGCCATGGCTCACGGGCCCAGCCGTTCCGCGGCGCGTGGGATCTTCCGGGACTGGGGCACGAACCCGCGCCCCCTGCATCGGCAGGCGGACTGTCAACCACTGCACCACCAAGGAAGCCCAGCTGCACCATTTTATTTCTGGGTTAAGCCACGGGGCCAGGCCACTTGCTAGGAGGGCTTACAGGTACAACAGTTCCAGGCCTCCAGCTGGCCTCCACAAGGCCTTTGGTCCCAGTCTCTGACTGGATTAATTCTCCACCATCCATACTGTATTCTAAGACTGACTACGTAAAGAGGTCACCTGACAGAATCAGCAATGGAAAGGTGGTTTCTTCTAAAATCCAACATGCAATGATTTACTCAATACAAAAAGAACGAGGTAAGAGAAAAATTTCCACGTTTCCTTTTCACTAATTTTACTTATATTTGATAATTTTCACTCAGAAATTCTATCAGCTCCTTTTTCAGTATGAGATGTATGTGTGTGGGTGCATGTGTACAATCCCTTGAGAACTTTATTTGGTATAACTTCACATTTTTGGTACATGGAAATAATTTTATTTTCATACTGTAGCACAGGAGACATACAATCAATATTTTTTCCTAGCGTGTGCAATATATAAATTATTCACATTAAGAAAAATTAAGAACAGAAAGCTTCATATGCAGGAGGTATTTAAAAATGTATACCTAATTTTGAATTGGCGTTTTTGACAGTATACACTATTAGCTTTATAAATCTGAATGAAAATGACGATATACATTTGAACAAGTACACACAGGGGTCCACTCCAGATACTTAATTCAGTATATGGATAACTCGCTCTTCACTTTGGTCGCTGGGATTCCAGATGCTGAGGCATACGTGAATCTGAAAGATACTTCCAGAAGTATATTTATTACACTGGCATTTTGAAGATTTCTCTTTCTTCTACTCTCCTTTATAACGAGGGGTCCTTTTCTCTTTAAAAGCAAGAAGACCTTCAAGTCTGTCTTTTGTTGGAATAGTCTAAGAGAAGCAAAACATTGTTATCTATGCCAAACAATAAAAACAATTGTAAAAGTTTAATAAGCTTTAACTAAGGAAACTACCTGGAAGACAATCTAAAATTTTGAAATCATCTGAACAATTTAAATTATGTGACCAAATTTATCATTCTAACTCTAAGATGCTTTTTTTCCCATTTCAAATATACTTGAATAAAATTGACTTTACTTTTTTTAGACAATTTTAGGTCTACCAAAAAACTGAGCAGAAAGTTCAGAGTTCCCATATACTCCCTCAAGCCCCCCCACTGCTTCCCCTATTATTAACATCCTGCATTAATGTGATACATTTGTTACAACTAATGAGCCAATATTAACACAATATTATTAACTAGTCCATAGTTTACATTAGGGATATTCCATGGGTTTTGACAAATGCATAATGTCATGTATCCACCATTACATTATCACAAAGAATAGTTTCATTACCCTCAACATCCCTAATGTGCCGCCTAGTCATACCTTATCCCCCACCCCACTGTCTTTTCCAGAATGTCATATAGTTGGAATCATATAGTATGCAGGCTTTTAAGACTGAAATCCTTCATTTAGTAATATGTATTTAAGGTTCCTTCCTGTCTCTTCCTGGTAGGATAGCTCATTTCCTTTCATTGCTGAATAACACCCCACTTATACATGTACTACAGTTTATCCATTCACCTACTGAAGGACATCTTGGTTGTTTCCAAGTTTTGCCATTAGGAATAAAGCTGCTATAAACACCGGTGTGTAGGATCTTGCGTGGACACAAGTTTTCAACTCATTTGGATAAATATGTAACAACATGATGGCTAGATCATGTAGTAAGACTATGTAAGAAATGGCCAAACAGCGGTATCTTGTTTTTATTTGCATTTCTTAATGACATATGATGTGGAGCATATTTACCTATGCTTATTTGCCATCTGTACATCTAATTTGGTGAGGTATCTCTTCAGACCTTATACCCAGTTTTTAATGGGTTATTTTCTTACTGTTGAGTTTTAAAAACTCTTTGTATGTCTTGGATACATGTCCTTTATCAGATATATGTTTTGCAAAGATATTTTTCCCAGTCTGTGGCTTGTCTTTTCATTCTCTTCACAGTGTCTCTTGCAGAGCAGAAGTTAATCTTAATAAAGTCAAACATCAATTTTTTCTTTCATGAATTACACTTTTGGTGTTATATCTAAAAAGCCATGGCCAAACTCAAGGTCTAGAATTTCTACTATATTATCTTCGAGAAGTTTTATAGTTTTTCACTTTACATGTAGGTCTATGGCCCATTTTGAGTTAATTTTTGTGAAGGGTGTAAGGTCAGTGTCTAGATTTTTTTTTTTTTTTTTTTTTTTGTAGTTGAATGTCCAGATGCTTCAGTACTATTCCTTTTTAAGACTATCTTTTCTTCATTGAATTGCCTTTCCTCTTTTGTCAAAGATCAGTTGACTATATTTGTATGAATCTACTTCTGGGCTCCCTATTCTGTTCCATTGATCTATGTGTCTTTTCTTTTGCTAGTACCACACTATTTTGATTATTGTAGCTTTACTGTAAGTCTTGCAGTCAAGTAGTGTCATTCCTCCAACCTTGTTCTTTAATAGTGTGTTGGCCAATCTGGGTCTTTGGACTTTCCATATAAACTTTAGAACTGGTTTGCCAATATTAAGAAAATAACTTTCTGGAATTTTTATTGGGATTGCATTGAATCTATGATCAAGTTGGGAAGAAGTGACATCTTAATAATATTGAGTCTTACTATTCATGAATATGGGATTTTTTTTTTTTTTTTTTTTTTTTTTGCGGTACGTGGGCCTCTCACTGTTGTGGCCTTTCCTGTTGTGGAGCACAGGCTCCGGATGCGCAGGCTCAGTGGCCATGGCTCATGGGCCCAGCTGCTCCGCAGCATGTGGGATCTTCCCGGACTGGGGCACGAACCCGTGTCCCCGGCATTGGCAGGCGGACTCTCAACCACTGCACCACCAGGGAAGCCCCTGGGATATCTATTTGTTTAAATTGTGATTTCTTTCACCAGAGTTCCCTCTTTAGCCTGTTGATATGATGAATTATATTAACTGACTTTTGAGTGTTGAACAAGCCTTGCATATCTGGGAAAAAATCTCACTTGGTTGTGGCATATAATTCCTTTTATATATTGTTGGAGGCAGCTTGCTAATATTTTGTTGAGGATTTCTATATGTATGTTCATGAGAGATAATGGTGTGTAGTTTTCCTTTCTTGTAATGTCTTTAGTTTTGTTATCAGGCTAATACCGTCCTCATGGAATGAGTTAGGAAGTATTCCTTCTGCTTCTATTTTCTGGAAAAGATTGTAGATAATTGGTGTAATTTCTTCCTTAAATGGTTGGCAGAATTCACCAGTGAAACCATCTGCGCCCGGTGCTTCCTATTTCGGAAGTTTGTTAATTATTGATTTAATCTCTACAACAAACATAGGACTATTCATATTATATTTCTCCTTGGATAAATTTTGGTATATTTTGTCTTTCAAGGAATTGGTCCATTTCATCTAGGTTATCAGATTTGTGGGCATATATAGTTCACAGTATTCCTTTATCCTTTCAATGTCCATAGAATCAGCAGTAATAATCTTTCTTGCATTTCTGATATAATTTTTATCTTCCTTTTTCATTGATTATCCTGACTAGAAGTCTGTCAATTTTATAGATCTTTACAAAGAAACAACTTTTGGTTTTGTTTTCTATCTATTGTTTCCCCTTTTTCAATTTCACTGATTTCTGCTCTAAAGTATTATTTGTATTCTTCTGATTTGGGATTGAATTTGATCTTCTTTTTCCACTTTTGAAAAGTGCAAAGTTATTATTGATTTTAGATCCTTCTTCTTTTCTAATATACATATTTAATGCTATAAATTTCTCTCTAAACGTTGTTTTTCATATATTCCCACAAATTTTGATAAGTTGTATTTTCATTTTGATTTAGTTCAAAATATATTTTAATTCCTCTTGAGACTTTCTCTTTGACAAATGTTATTTAGAAGTATACTGCTTAACCTTATTAAAAAGATTACATCTCACCATTAATAGGTGGGGTTCCATCTATCTTTCTGTGATTGACTTCTAGTTTAATTCCATTGTGGTCTGATGGAATACTTTGTATGATTCCTGTTACATTTGATAAGATGTGGCCAAATATGCTTTTAAATATTTTCTTCAGACTCTGAGGTTGTCCATTTGTAAGAGGTTTGTAATTTAGTTCATTCATGGTATGTGTTCATCAATGACAGGTGGTAATTTATATATACAGACCAGGCGCAGAGTAACACTCTAGCTGTTGCTCCTAATTCATGATACTGCCATGCTTAAATGGGAGCTGACACAGTTTCCAATTCTCAGAAAAGGTAGAACAAAACTCTTTTGCTACTTTAGATGCCTTAAAACAAGCACCTAAAGTATCTTTCATTTTAAAAAGGATGGAAGCGGCTTCCCTGGTGGCCCAGTGGTTGAGAGTCCGCCTGCCGATGCAGGGGACACGGGTTCCTGCCCTGGTCCGGGAAGATCCCACATGCCGCGGAGCGGCTGGGCCCGTGAGCCATGGCCGCTGAGCCTGCACGTCCGAAGCCTGTGCTCCACAACGGGAGAGGCCACAACAGTGAGGGGCCCGTGTACAGCTTAAAAAAAAAAAAAAAAAAAAAAAAAAAAGGATGGAAGAAAGGAAGGGAGGAAGGAAGATTTGTTCCTCTATAAAAAGCCCTATTAATTTGTGAAGAAAAAAGAAAACTACGTATATGTAATCAAACTAGTGAACTTTCAGTGGGTAGGAGGAAAGGCTCAGAACATCAGGAAAAGCCACTGAGTCTCAAATACTGATGTTTCCTGGAGGCACGTGCTCACAGCTGCCGTCTTCACACTTCTCTACCCTGGAGTGAGGGTTCAAGACCACACCCAGAAAACACAACATGAGCCAGAGAGACAGCTATAGCACAAATGGTACTAACTTAACTATTCTAAGCATTTTCTAAATTACATAGACAGGAGTCATTAGTATGTGGAACAGAATCAGTCATAAGAGCTGGTAACAGTCAAACAGCAGAAATAAATAATTTCAACCCATCTGTATGATTTTTTAATAGTGTATATATATCATGGTTCAGTGATATATAATTTAGTTGACTTATACAGAAGGTAAGGGGTATCTGCATTGAATTTGTGGTTGTATTACATACCTGAGCATAACAAGCTTCTTCTATGGCTAATCCTGTTACTAAATCGACCTGAGGAAAAAATATAATTCATTTCAGCAAGAATTACTTTTAAAAATATGGTATACTCATAAATATAAATTCAAATTTAATAACTTTATTCCAAAAGAACAGAATTCTTTGATGTAATACAGCAAATCAGAAGTATGACCAGCACAAGAAACTCTGGAACCAGGTTGTCTGGGTTCAAATTCTGACTCTACCATATGGGAGCTGTGTAACCTTGGTTACCCAGGTTATTTAACCTCTCTTGCCTCGGAGAAGTGTATCTGAACAGGGAGTTAATTACAGTATGTATCAAATGGGGTTATTGTGAGGAACACATGAGTTAATCTAGGTGAAGTCTTTATAAACTACATAAGCTATACATTGGGTTGGCACATAGTTAGGGTCATATAAGGTTTTTGCTATTAGCATTGTTACTATTTTCTCTTTTTAGAGAAGTTTTTTTAATTAATTCATTTTATTTATTTTATTTTTGGCTGTGTTGAGTCTTCGTTGCTGCGCGTGGGCCTTCTCTAGCTGCGGCAAGCGGGGGTTACTCTTCGTTGTGGTGCGCGGGCTTCTCATTGCCGATGGCTTCTCTTGCTGCGGAGCATGGGCTCTAGGCGCGTGGGCTTCAGTAGTTGTGGCACGCAGGCTTAGTTGTCGTGGCTCACGGGCTCTAGAGCGCAGGCTCAGTAGTTGTGGTGCACAGGCTTAGTTGCTCCACGGCATGTGGGATCTTCCCGGACCAGGGCTCGAACCCGTGTTCCCTGCATTGGCAGGCGGATTCTTAACCTCTGCACCACCAGGGAAGTCCCAGCATTGTTATTACTATGTAAGAATTCTTAAAAACCAAATACTTTGTAAATTTTTAAAAATGTATTTATTACTAACATATTTAACCTCTTTTTACTGCTGTGAAGGCCAGGAAAATATAGTGGCTCTGGGTCTGCAAGGAAGAAATATCTTTCTTCAAAATTCCTGTAGTTAATTTATCCAAAATACAACTGCTGCAATGAAAAGCCCAATGTAAATGGGTACCTGCATGTAAATGGGTACCTGCTTACTTCTCCCCTGTCCTGGGGCCTCCACTCCTTTGGAGCTATCTCTCCAGAGTAACCCCAGGGCCCCCTGCAGGGTTTATGTGTGTCTCACTGCAGAAAGCACATCAAGAAGTTAAAGATGGTCTCCATCTTTAGGAGGAGCTTTGAGCCAGGAAGTTCTCCTTAGAACATTTTTTTTATAATATGATACTGGTGCTGAGAATACACAGAATGCCCTTTTCCTTTGGTTTTCTATGAACTACTAGCCAATAAATCTATTAACTCAATGGCATAAATAATAAGCATGTCATATGCTGCAGCGCATCAGTGAAATTACTGAATTCTGTGATTATGATACTGAAGCAACAACAGATATAAGCAGAATGCAATCACTGATGTAGCTAAAAAGAACCTCAGTAGCTTTCAGTAATCATAGCAGTGAAACAGCTATATTTTAGAATATTAAAAAATAATGGTGCATTTAAGTTAAATCTCCACTACCTATTCCAACAAGAAACTCAAACTTAAGGCACTCACCTCCATCCCTTGATTAATTGCTAATTTTGCCACTCTCATTGCAACAGGTCCCTAAAATTCAAATTAAAGAAACATATTTTAATTATTTATGCAAATCATGTTGTACATCTCAGTCAAATTCAGAAATTCCCTTTGCTGGATCCATGGCATAGAGGCAACAACGGCTGTAAGATAGTTGATGGAAAATTTATTTTAGGAGCCTTGCAAGGCCTTAATTAAACAGCAATTGTAATAATCTATTGCACCAGCACGTTACACAGATTTCACAGCATGCTGTAGCACAGCAAACTATATGCTTGGAGGTCAGCAGGTGGTATGTGTCCAGTAGAGGGCTTTTAATTGTTCAGCAAATTTCCCTACAAGTTAAGTAGGAAAAAGAAAAGGAGATAAAGTGTTTGGCACAATAATACACCCATGAGTGGTTCGACAGAACCCTGGGCTTGAGATGAGGCTGACACTATTGATTAACATGGGATTCAGATATCATCTGTTTCAGGCAGTGGAGCTGTATCTTTCTTCCCTGAGCATCAATAACTAACCACGATGATGATGTGTTAGTAAAGATGCGTCCTCCAGGCAGTGCTCCCACATCACACAAAAGCTTCAAGTCCAAATAAGTCCTTCAGGATCTGTGAGGGTCACAGAGGAAAGAATTGGGAGTCCTCTGCGAGAAGGGACACATAACTTTGTCTTAGAAACCATAATCCCCCAGATGGAATTTGATTATTTGATCACATTTTAAATCCCTGAAAATTGTTTATTGGGTGATGAATTAGAATTCAATGGCATGTTTTTTTTTGTTTTTTTGCGGTACGCGGGCCTCTCACTGTTGTGGCCTCTCCCGTTGCGGAGCACAGGCTCCGGCCGCGCAGGCTCAGTGGCCATGGCTCACGGGCCCAGCCGCTCCGCGGCATGTGGGATCTTCCCGGACCGGGGCACGAACCCGCGTCCCCTGCATCGGCAGGCGGACTCTCAACCACTGCGCCACCGGGGGAGCCCCAATGGCATGTTTTAAAGCATCTTTTGAATTAAAATGCAAGAGGCTCTAAATAACAGGCACAACAAAGGACTCCAATAAGTGAATGGATAAATGTATGATGGCATGAAAAATGCCATTTTTCGGTTATCTACTTTAACCTATCTAAATTCTCTTCCTAAATCACATGATGAAAAATCTTTTTCAGAGACTGCAATTTTCTGAGGCTTAGGCCTCGGATTCTTAGTTAGAATCTTTCCAGATGTGATTTGTATGTATGTTACACATACTAGTTTTTTTTATTTCTTTCAAGATCATCAATTCATTTTTTTTTTTTTAACAGAGTGCTCCTCTCAACAAGAAACTTATCCATTCACTTTTATTACCAGTTGACCCAGACAAGTGCTAGTCAAACTTCCATATGCACACAACTCCCCAAGCCCCTGGTTAAAATGGAGATGCAGATTCAGGGGTCTGGCATGGGCCGGGGATTCTGCAAGTCTAACATGTTCCCAGCGGACGCCTGGACTGCTAGTCCACAGACCACACTTTGGGCAGCAAGGTTTATAAAACTGGAGAAACAGGAAAATGAAAATGCTATTAGATATAGCACTTAATTAGTTTCTCTTTTAAAATAAAAAACCAGTGCCTCTTCTTTATATACAAACTTTTTTCCTAAGATAGAAAAATGGAAGTAACATATAATACAGAAATCACCTAGAAATACTAATTTTATAGACGCTTTCTAATTATTTAGAAGACTAATCATTTAGTAACAAGGTCTGCAAAAATGAAGATTATTCCACCTCAAATTCTGTTTTGTAACTTTTGTATACAGTTTCACAGTTACACATTTTCCAAAGTCATTTGACATCTCCCTTCACCTGGGGAAAAATTAATTTCAGCAATTAATGTTCTCAGAGGCATGTCCTTCAGATGAAAGAGACGATGAGTTCTGCCTGGTTCACCACGTGGTAGGGTGCAGCCAGATGTCAGGTTGGAGGTGGGGAGAAGGGGGCTCTCGGGCGGGGTGAGCTGTGGGCAGTGATGGCATTAACAGCACTGCAGTCACAGGAGAAAGAGCCAGTTCCCAGGAGTGAGATAAGGAACCTGAACCACAGAGGTGCCAAGGGGCTAATGAGCCACCTGGGCAGAGCTCTGGAATAGGGAGCTGAACGCTCCCATCCAAGGATCAGGAGAGGCTGTGAATCTCAGAACTCGGGAGCTGTTTTTTTTTTTTTAAAAGACTAGTAAAAATCTTTTCTACTTGCTCTCTCCCCATCAGTTCAGAGTATAAGACTCTGTGTTACCTCATATGGGGAATAAACTATATAAGGTCCCTGCCCTGAAAGAGCTTATGGCTCATAACTTAACTGAGAAGGACTGAGGTAGCATCAACAGCAGGCAGTGTGGTTTTAGAAACCAACTCAAACGAGAGGACCCGTCTGACAGCTCTCAGGGGACAGGTACATCACAGCAGACCTGGGCCTTGTCTTACAACAAAGAACTCCAAGGATGCCTCCCGAAACTGGATGCGAAACTCCAGACAAATGTGGAGGGTGCATGCATTTTTCTAGAGACAGATTTCATGAGATTTCCCAAAAGGACCCATGGCCTTTGGTTACAAATACTGAGAAGTTACAAATACTGTTTGAGTTAGAGAGGAAGTAATTTTGACTCCAGAAGTTATAAAACTTTACACGCCATTAGGAATAAAGACAAGTCACTAATTGTTTACATAACAAAAATCCTTTAATCCATGATTTCAGAAGAAAGGAATATTTGAAAAATACTCCTAGAAGAGTGAGAGAACCAAGAAACCCCTAATACAGGTCCCTAGATGCGCTGTTGTTAATATTACTCATGAGGATTATGATCTGTGAGTAAATGTGCAGTGAGTCCTAGATTTGAAGTGTAATTGTGAGGAAGCATATTGTGCACAAAGGAGTTAAAACAATGCCTACATCACCATAAAAACAAACACAATAAGACACACAACTGGTGCTGTTCAAGCAGGTTATCTCAGGTTATGGGATCTCAATGAAAGCTCACTTGGCATAATCGACTCTGGGCTCCTTACTTGTGTTTCAGTTTGGGGGCGATCCAGTGTGACAGCCCATCCGTCACTGTTTCTCTTCATGTGTACAGTTCAGGTCAGAAGGGCTAACTTAAGTTGCTGGCAAGTTCTGTCCCACGTGATAAACATGTATGTGATATATTATCAACGTATGGCTACAACAGGGGCCTCAGATTATCTTCAAATCTTAATTTTAATTCTGAAGGCTCTTAACATTAATCTAGTCAATTTGTTATAAAGTTATCTAAAAAGAGTAAAAGAAGGAAATGCAATTAAAGTACCTGAGGTAAAAACTCTCTTGCTAGGTCCAAGGCCTTTCTATAGGCAGCATCACCCTCCTGGTTCTGTTCCAGAACATGGCTGATCAAGCCCACTGCTTTGGCTGCTTGGCCATCGAGCACACGTGCAGAGAAGATGAGCTCTTTGGCCAGGGACATCCCAATGGCACGTGGCAGTCGCTGCGTGCCCCCTGCACAGGGGATGAGACAGAAAATGCAGGCAATGATTTGTCACCCTTTCCTTTTAACACTTCAATGTTTCATTTCTTCTTTTATAAAAACAAACCAGGGCCAGAAGTTTATATGTCAAAATTAGTAACTGGAAAACTACTTCAAGACAGAACCTAATTTCTTAATTAGTTTATAAAATTATTAATCTCCCAAAAGTACTTAAGAACCTTATATCATTATTAAGTGATCCTGACACTGACCATTACTTGCACCATGGCTGGTGTGTTCCTGAATCCAGTCCACAATCATTACCAAGTCAGGAACCACAGGGTGCACCGCAGTTGAGGGGGTCAGGGGCTGGCTGGGGAAGGAGTTTTCTCTCCCTCAGAAGGTTCACCAGAGGAATGACAGGTCCATCAAGCTTGGTATTTCGCTTTCAGTTTAGATAAAACATCAAATTCTGAGCAATTCAACTCATGTGCTTTTGAAGACTCATTTACAATTTACAGTAAATGAACCATAAACTAATTTTAATTTAACGAAAATAAAAACAGATAATTACTCATGAAAATAGGCTTTGTCCTGGGGTTTTATTTTTCCGTGCAAGTACTAATCATCCCCTGATGCATTAATCCATTAGATCCATCTATCTGCTCACCCCAATATCTTTGAGTGAAGAGACGGGGATCTCATTAAATAGAAAGCTGGACAAAAAGCAGGTAATATTCTGACTCGGAGCTTCAATTTCTACCAATAAGAATATGAAAATAGCTGCAAATCCTAAATCTTATAAGTCTTATCCTTAAAGTGGCGGCTGGACTGCCCAGGAGGCCAAGGAAAAGCTGACTGCGAAGGTTCAGAAGACAAAAAGCAAACTGATGGCCAAACATCGGAACAAGCTCACTGTGTTTCTCTGGCCCATAAAGTTTAAACTTTTTTTTTTTTCTGCACTAGTTACCAACATTTATAAACTGGATGGGTAATTTCATATAAAAGCTAACTTGTACCTGGAAGTTAACTGCAGCTGCACCTTTTAGATGCAGTGCACTCGAGTCTGCCACAGCCTCCACCACTTCCTGCTACTCCAGTACTACAGACTGAGAAGTTTTGATTTTCTTTAAGCAACATTAAAAGGCAGGCAAAATATACTCTTATTCACATCTCAACCAAAAGTGGGGGGGAGACAAGTTTCAAGAAAGCATATTTCCCTTCAATAATTAAGTACATTCCTACATGTTCAACAAATAAAGCACGCCAGCATTGGAAGAACATAGCTTATGATGCTATTATTAAGCAACCATGTTGAGAACGATGACCATGTTTTGAAAATATAGGTGATTAGAAAAAAAAAAGAAACAAAAATAAACCTCAAAAGGATTGACATTTTCAGTAGGGATTGTTTTTGAACATTAAATGAGTACTGCTTCTGTAAATTGCAGTTACTTACTGCTCACACAGCCCAAGCAGTTATAGATGGTAAGTTTAAAGGTATTTTACACAATGTGGCAACAAACACGTGTGAAAAAATGAAGCACTGACAAATTTAAATCTAACTGTAAACAATGATGTTGCTCAGTGTAGTAAAGATAGGTCTGAAAACTTACGGAACAAGCTATATGGGACAGACAAGTTATTTACAGTGTTTCCAATGGCAGCTGATTAGAACAGAGATATAAATAATACAACCCAGATAGCTATATTTACTCATGGAGCTGATGAGGATTTTCATGAGACTAAAGTACTTACGGATATAGTATTCATGATAAGCACATGTTAGGAAATGATTCTCTGTTGTGTTCTGTGAAAAGTTTAATGTAGATTGGTCGAAATCAACAAATGTGACCCTCAACAGTCATTGTTAGTGCTGCACTTTTTATTCAAAGGAAACTCAATATTTTGCAAGTCCACTTAAGCCGATTCATCATACTATTTTGTTTATGGAATGATTCTCCAGGAATAAAGATTTTATAAATATTTAACAAAGGAACAGTCATGAAACTAACACCATGAAACAGAGCTGAATGGCACTGAACTCTAAGCTTTGATGGATGAAATGGATGCAAACCTAACTGTCTGCTGCAGGGCATGATGTGAGTGTGAGAGGCTTGGTGCTGAAGAGACCTTTCTGTTCTGTTGAAAACACTGCATCATAGGATCCAAGAAAAAGTCCTCAACTTGGCTCACCAACTAACACTGCATCCAAGATTTGGCTTTTTTGGTTGACATCACAAGCTATCTACTCTAGGAACCTCATGTAAGTGCAATCATACAGTATTTGTCCTTCTGTATGATGGGCAGAAGGTATGTGTCAGAACTCCATTCCTTTGTAAGGCTGAATAGTACTCCATTACATGAATATGTTTTGTTTATTCTTTCATCTACTGAGGAACACTTGGGCTGCTTCCATCTTTGGCTATAAGGAATAATACTGCTATGAATACGTGTACACAAACATCTCTTCAAGACCCTGCTTTCAATTCTTTTGAGTAGATACCCAGAAGTGGAATTGCTGGAACATACAGTAAATGCATGTTTAATTTTTTTGAGAAACAGCCACACTATTTTCCATAGCAGCTTCACCATTTTATACTCCCACCAATAGGGCACAAGTGTTCTAACTTCTCCACATTCTTACCAACACTTGTTACTTTGTGTTTGTTTATTGATGGTAGCCATCCTAATGGGTGTGAAGTGGAATCTCATTGTGGTTTTTGATTTGCATTTCCCTAACAACTAGTGATACTGAGCATCTTTTCATGTGCTTATTGGCCATTTGTATATCTTCTTTTTAATTGGGTTGTTCTGCTGTGGTTGAGTTGAAGGAGTTCTTTATATATTCTGGATATCAATTCCTTATCAGATACATGACTTGCAAATATTTTCTCCCAATTCATGGGTTGCTTTTTCACTGTTGACAGTATCCTTTGAGGCATGCAAGTTTTTAATTTTGATGAAATCCAATTTATCTATTTTTTCTTTTGTTGCCTTTGCTTTTGGTGTCACGGCCAAGAAATAATTGCCAAATCCAACGTCATAAGTTTTTCCACTGTTTTCTTCTAAGTTTTGTACTTTCAACTCTTACATTAAGGTATTTGATCCATTTCTAGGTAATTTTTGTATATAGTATAAGGTAAGGGTCCAACTTCACTCTTTTGCGGGCAGAAATCCAGTTTCCCTAACCCTACTTGTCAAAAGGGACATTCTTAAACAGTTACACAAATATGTGATTTAATTTGCTCATTCTTACCAAAACTTTATCTTTAGGAAACCTGTTTGGTAAGAAATTATCTGGCCCACTTTCATATGCTGCATTCAGTTTGCAGAAATCAAAGACTGATAGTTTGAACTATATTTTTACTTTATGGAATTAAAGGTAACTGACCCTTCACTGGCTCCAGGTATATAATTTCAACCTTTATAAAAATGATGTGACCTGTTCAGTTTGCCTTTGTCAATTAATACTGATAGTGTGAGCAACGAGCCGTACAAATGGAAGTTACTGAACTGCAGTGCAATACGACACAAAAAACTGAATATGATTGATGTGGAATCTCAGACTTCTACAACCATCTCAGGAATAGTTACTCCAAACAGAAATTATTTTTATGCCAACATTCTAGTCCAGTTTGGAAGTACTTCTGCTTATGAACAGCTATTTTCTATTATGAAATAAAGCAATTAGCTCATTAGGGAAGCAAGGTTCACTATAGCATTGCATCCTGCAACTCGAGAGACAAGATGTGCCACTGAGACCTGGTGTGGAAGAAAAGGCATCAGATATTTTAAGTTCCAAATACAAAAAGAAGTACTAGAGAGAATTTATTTCAATTCATCTATTATTAATTCTGAATACTAAATTCCAATATTAGCTTAGAGTTAGGTAGAAGTGAAGACAGTGTGCTGTATTTCTGTTGGTTGATTTTCTTACACCAGGCCTGCTTCTATAGATCACACAACCTGCTTAGTTCCAATAGGGATTTGAGCTCAGGATCACTAAAGTGCCATCTCTAGATACTGTCTTGATGATTGGAGAAATTAAACAGTAGAACTAAAAATAGGGTTGTCCCCAGTGGAATTAAAATCATTCCACTCTGACAGCCACCCTAATGTATTCAAAGTCACACAGGTCTGAGACTCTATTCAAACTTACACTAGTGTCCATCCCAAGAGCTTCCAGCATGGAGCCCTGACTCCTAGTTGGGCCCTGCTCTGAGACTCACAGAGTTTTAGTAACTTGCCCAAAGTCACAAAGTTAGGTTGTAGAAATAGGATCCAAACCTACCTCTGCCTGATTCTTATCTACTATGTGGTAAGACAGTAAAGAGCAACTTATGAAATAAGTTTGTAAGCTGCTTGATAAAAGGTATGGTATATATAAGTAGGTACATAATATAAGTAGGCATATACATATATCAAATGTATCTAGAAAGTTGTCTCTGTGGGATCAGCTGATAGATAATGATCATTTTTTATTCATTTTCCCTGGTTGTATTTCAAAACTGTTCTGCAACAGTAATATGACACTGTAATAGGAATAAAAGTGCTACACTAATTTTGAAGAGCACAGTACAAGGAGACAAAGAGCCAACCACCTGGTAAAAGCCTCTCAAGCCACTTCCTGCCTGTGTCCCCAAGAAGTTCTCCAGGATCTGGGAAGCCTCAGCTCTCCTGGGTTGCAATGTTAACACTAAGGGACCATGGTATCAGGAGGTCATACACTCCCGTGACACTCTTGGCAGGTACCCCACAGTACTACCAAATACGAGAAGTATGAACGGAAGCTGAATCAGCTGTATTTCTGTCAGTTTTCACAATAACTCACAAGGCTCCTGCTAAAATACAAGTAATTTAACCCTTTCCAGGGGCAGTAAATTCAGAGCATGTTTTGCTTCCACAAAAAACAACTACTGTTGAGTCACTTCATCATCTACCAGAAAAAGGCGTTCTGTGGTGGCCCATGAATCCTCATGAAGATCCATCGGAGTAATAAGCAGAAACAGCGTGCCAAAGCCACATTACT